AGCTCCAGTGGCAATCCAGCCATCACGTCCACGGCATCAGCACCGCCGACTCCGATAGCTATCATGCCCAGACCCCCTGCATTGGGGGTATGCGAATCCGTCCCGATCATCATCCCACTAGGGAAGGCGTAGTTCTCCAGCACGATCTGGTGAATGATTCCTGCGCCGGGCTTCCAGAACCCCATGTTGTATTTCTGACATGCGGACTCGAGAAAATCGTACACTTCTTTATGATTATCGAGCGCTCGCGCGAGGTCCTGCGTTTCGCCGTCACGACTGACGATCAAATGATCACAATGGACTGTCGTGGGCACGGCAGCTGTGTCTAGTCCAGCAGACATGAACTGGATAAGAGCCATTTGGGCTGTCGCATCTTGACATGCTATGCGTTGCGGGCGCAGTTTGAGCTGGGTCTTGCCGCGCTCGATGCGCTCGTCGAAGGTGGTGTCGAGGTGACTATAGAGAACTTTTTCGGCGTATGTTAGAGGGCGATTGTATCTGAGGGTGGATATTAGTAGGGCACTAATGGTTCAGTGTAGGTGAGATGAGTAGTTACCGCTTTCTGAGTGATTGGATGGCGGAAGGGAATTGGGATATGTTTATTTTGTGTTGTTCAAGTCGACTGATTGGCACATGGGTGTGCGAGGCATAGCCTCTGGCTAACTTGGGACCGCTCACTCGTGTTCTAATCATCTTGCTGATGCATTGCTAAACAAGGGTGATTTATTGGATAAGACAGAAGATATAAATAAATCACAAGGGTTTATGTAACAACTCCAGCTGTGGCTGATTTACACCTCGGTCATCCTGGTGGCGGCTTCGGATGGTTCCGTCGGCTGAGCCGATGAGCACATCGCATCTCCTCTATCCGAGGAACAATTAATGACAATAGCAACGCTGTCCAGCTTATCCATCTAGACATATTCCCTCATCTCAACATTACCATCAACATCCTCCGCTTTTTTTTCCTCAGACAGTTTACCTCCACTCTCTGCTGTGCCGACTTCCCCGAGCGGTAACCCCCTGGCCATCGGCACAATCTTCCAGATTGAAGGGGCATCCACAAACACCCTATCAAGCATCTCCAGACTACGGTGCATCGTCTCCGGATAGAAGAAGTACACGCAGACCGGGATCGTCGCAGATATGAGCGCATATATCACGTAGTACCAGCACCCAATCGTATCAATAGCAACCGGCGTAACCAAAACGACCACCAAATTCCATAGCCAATGGTTAGCAGTTGCGAGCGAAGACATGGCCGCTCGCAGACGCACAGGCGCAATCTCAGCTGTATAGAGAAAGTTGCCTCCCATAAAGCCGATTGGGTAGAAGAAGTTGAAGACAAACATGAAGGCAACGTATGCTATTGCCATTGGATGCGTGATTTTACCCAAGCCGGTGGTGACGGCCAGCACGGCCATGCAAACGGACATCCCGGCTCCGCTTACCATGAAGGATAGTCGACGGCCCCAGTTGTCGATAGTCCAAAATGTTATTATGCAGCAGAGAGTTTTCCATGACAGTACACAGGACGCTAGGACTCTAGACATGGTGGGCGTCATGTGTAGGTAGTTTTCGAAGATGGTGGAACTGTAAACGGATATGAGGTTGCCTCCGCAGGCCTGATAAATTAGCAATCGTGACATATACAAATTGAAGTCTTGCAACAGGTCGCCAACTCACCTGCTGGAAGAAATTCAGCCCCATGCAGAGCCAAAAACGCAACAAGAGACGCGTCTTGTCCTTGCGATCGAAGATATCCAGGATGGACATGGTCCCACTCCCCTCCAAAGCAAGCTGAATATGGGCTATCTCTCCCATAATCATCTCATCATGCGCATCCTTTCCTCGATAGCGGCAGAGACTATCCGTGGCTTCTTCGACCCGACCTCTAGATATTAGCCAACGAGGTGACTCCGGGAACGTGAAAGCAGAAACCAGTATCATTGCCGAGAAGAGGAAGGGAATAGCGAGCGGAGCTCTCCATTGTCCAGTGGTAGAGGGTAGATAGCTGAATCCCAAATCAATCCAGTTGCACAATGTGTATCCCGTACTGATGAAGATACCCGTACAGATTCCCAGTTGTCCGCGGTACTTCGGCGAGGCACATTCCGAGAGCCATACAGGTACCGTGCCGCTGATTTGGCCAATAGCGAACCCTAGGACAACTCGTCCAACGACCAACTGGATCAATGTGGTTGCGGAGACCTGAAGAGCCTGGCCGACGACGGTGATCACAGCTCCGATGAAAACTGTCTTTCGACGTCCGAGTTTGTCGCCGTAAAGAGAAAGGGATAGAGCACCGATCAGACATCCCATCTGAAACGAGGCATTGCATGCACCCTGGGATGTCGAGTTATGGGACCTTTGTGCTCCCGAGGTGTTTATAGTGTCTATGGCTGGGAACACTGACACCCAACTTTGGAGGCTGAGTAGACTGCCCAAGACCGCTTGGTTGTATCCGAAGAGAATGAACGAAGGAGCAACGATAAGAAGTACCAGAGCGACTTGTAGCTGGGTGCCAACCACAGGGAGAGTAAGGCCTACCATTTTCACGTTGCTTTCTTGTGTGTCCTCTGCTTCATAAAGTTACTCGGCGTCTTAAGTACTTTACGTCTGATCCCCCGTGGGGAAGAGCGTCTGGAGTCAAGGAAGAAAAAGCGGGGTGCAGATACCTCATGACATGATCGATTCAAGTCATTATATCTACTCTTGTTTGATTGGAGGATATCCATGGCTGTATGGCGTTGTCCTTTCTGTCCCTCGTCTCGATCGCCTAATCATCCAGTGTGGGTTTGGTACCCCAGGTGGGTATGAGTATCGCTGCACCCATTTCCCATCGGATGCTCCGACAGACTTTACTAAACGACTCACCGTGGCGAATGGACCAATAAGATATTGTGGTTTATATGGAGTGATATGCAGATCACTGTCTAGTGCACAATCGTCTCATGATCATGCCAGTGAAGCTTTGACGCAGGCAGACGCAAGATACTTTGACTCAGTAGAGATCGTGATATCGAGAGACAATGCCAACCAAATGTTGCATTATTTCTATTTTAGATTCTTCATTCCCGAAAATAGATCCCGTTGGGAAGGAGAAGAACTCACATAAACAGCAGAGGTGGAGTACTTGGTGGGTGCCTGGCTACTGTCAAATGTCCCGACAAGTTAGGTTTGTATTATAATAATATTACGTTTACAGCAAAGTACCATTACAATCGGTACTGGCGACTGCCCCCGCTTAACAATGAGAGAAAACTTCAAGCACGGTTCATTGAATTTCTGGTTTCGAATTATTTAACTCTTCCAATAAATCTGGCCCTCAAAGAGCCGACGCGCAGTACGGAAGACAGTTGCCGCCGTAAGCTGATCCTCCTCGAACTTGGCCCCAACAAGCAAATTTCCACTTGCATGACCAATTGTAAGACCAGCATCACTGACGCGATCTTTGTTGGTTGCATCCTCGACAGTACTACCTACCACACGAGCAGCTGCAGAAACAGCCAACGCGACAGTGATAGGAACTGCCTTGTGCGGCTGTCCCACAGAAATGGCCCGCACAAGCAGGTCGACAGAGTCCTTCCCTTTGGACTCCTGAGGTGGCGACACCATGCAAACCTTGGGAATACTTCCTGGAACAGCATCGGTAGTCGGTGCTATACCCATCTTGACCCCCGCCTGGCGCCGGATAGAATCCAGCCTTTGCAGAAGGTCGGGATGAGCGGCAATCTCGTCTGGAGTCAAGTCACCGCGGACGCCCAAGCTGCTAGCCGAAACAAAAACGCATGGATTGGCCACGTCAATACATGTGGCTGGAACACCGTCGAACTCGTCCCTTGTCTGCCCCGTCGGCAGCATCTTCCCGGTCACCGAGCCAGCCGGATTGACAAAATCTAATTGAATCCGAGCAGCTGTGCCGGCAACGCCATCAATAGCAAAGTCGCCGCTAGAGGCAGCCTCGCCGTCCACCACGGGAAAGGAGGCAGTGATTATTTTCCCCGTGTTTGTGTTGTGGATGCGTACAGTAGCCGACTCGGGCGTTTGGGAAGAAACAAGCTTTTGGTCAAGGGCAAAGGGACCAATGGCACTGATCATATTGCCACAGTTGCTGGAGTAATCGACATCGGAATTTTTGACCCCCAACGACACAAAAGTGTAATCAACGTCGGCATCGGGGTGGGTGGATTTCCCCACCACGCATACCTTGGAGAGGCTGGAGATACCCCCTCCCAGGCCATCAAGCTGCCGTCCGTATGGATCAGGGCTGCCAATGACGGAGCGAAAGATGGCGTCCCACTCCGAGCGAGGAGGGAGATGGGCCTGATTGAACATGACGGCGCGCGAGGTGCCTCCGCGGTAATAGGCCGCAGGAAGGGAGTGTTGCTTCGACAAATAGCGCCGAGCGCTAAAAGCGGCCCGATTTCGATAGGTATATTTGAACATGATGGTGGTTTGATGGCTAGGAACAACGTTTGTGCAAATGATTGGGTGGTTTTTAATGTTGTCTCCAGGACCGGGATTAAAGTTGCCATCGGATTTATCCGATACAAATTAACCGGTTACAGCCGCGTTCATCGGCTCATCCGATCGCGAATCGCTTCATGGGTGTCTCCAATCCACCCCTCACCAAGAGACATAGGTATACCGAGTGCCTAGGATGAGAAATACGTTTACGTAGACCGTTCGAATGCCCGATGCACATTACAGAAACAGCAAGCTTGACTAGCATCGGCAAAATCTCGTCTGCGGCGTCGGGTCCAAGCCATTGACCCGAGGTATTTAGACCGCGACAGATCGTATTGGGCCTGGAGCAGAAAACTGCCATGATTAGATTTTGCCGCACGATTGATCATGGTTGTGGATCTGAGACCTCTTTCCAATCCAGTCCGGTTGATATAGTAGCCGACGGGCAAGTGGCGAATGGAAACCACCCCCAGCGCCACCTTGATACATCTCAATTAGCTCGACATCACTCCCCAATCTCCGTAGAAACATTAGAACAGAACGCTCCAAACATCTGCCGTGCTCATGTCTATTCCCTCCATGAATAGGTCAGCCCATGGGAGGTCCATTTGAACGTCAGGAAGACGTGACGGTGAGTCATGAGCATAGGCATCTGAGGCTGGGTTGCTAGCCTTGGAGGGAAACGTGTGTGCTCTAAGACCAAACCAGGTTTGGAACTCGGTATCAATACTCAAGTCTGCCTGATCTTCATGTTCGAATAAGGACATAATCGACTGGCCAAGCCGCTCAACAATCCTGCAACACTTTTCGCCGACCGCACGTCCATCGCAAATGCCCCGGAAGAGGGTAAGAAACGTAGATATATTCGTTTGAATCACCGGCTTGGTCAATTCTTGCCGCAAGGGTGCAAACGCTCGCAGAGAATACAGCATTGTCACGGCTGCCAAGAACAACGAGTGAATTGCGATGAACGTATATTTAATGCGGTTCCGCGCGTACAGTGCGCTATATGAGCTTATCAGACCAATGGCAGACTCGGTGCAGGTCCGCAGATCATCTGGTGATGGCATTGGGACCGCACGTGAGGGACGGTAAAGTGAAAGAACGGCGTGATGGAAAGCAATCTGGAACCACTCAGTGGACTGGAAAGTAGATAAAGTCTGCATATAGCGCGGCGCTGTTATTATCCACTGATTCAGCTCCAGAAAATATCCACTGCGAAGCCGATCCAGGTCAGCAGGATCAGTTGGGACAGAACCGATGGAATGAAATGTCTTGTAAACACCGGCGTTGATTCGACGGAGCTTAATAATGTGGACAAATGTTGACGTGTCAGCCACATGCGGTATCACTGACTCCTCGACATTGGGGCTCTGGATAGATTCAATAAGCTGGGCATCCGTCAGCTGCATAGGCAAAGGCATGCTAACATCTGATTCTTGGATTCCCAAAGGTCGGCCCATGTTGATGGCCACACTGCAATTAATCACGTACGCGCACCAGAATACACGTTTAGACATCTCTGCATCCATGATGTCTTTCCCAGAAATGCTCTCCTTGCGGTGAAGGTCAAGGCCGATGGCTAAATTAAGGGCCATAGCGGTTGTGAACCACATATTGACTGACTGGGGTTCATTATGGCCATACATGCACAGTAGGAGAAGACACTGAACACATTCAATATTCTCGCCGCTCAAAACCAGGTCCAGGTCTTTTATGGCTTCTTTGAAGAATACCCGATGGGTCTTGTCGCGAGTTTGGGGTGATGACTTCTCTGTTGACGCAATGGCACAGACGATGTTTACCATGAAACTGGACAATGGCCTCATCTCAGACTTCGTTAGAAAGGGTGTCAAGTGTTGGTTGACGAATGTATGCCGATGTAATACTGGTAAATACGGCCATCGCCTATCGAAAAACGCGCCAGCCAGATTAATGTACGTGTCATTGTCGAGACTTAAACCATCTGTTTCAGAAACTTCGATATCTGTGATATCACCCCATAGCTCCCAAGCGCTGCTCATAGAACTGCGGTTCTCCCTTCTGGAGCTAAATTGCAGTGAGAAGGTTGGTCTCAGTATCCGACTAAGGAAGCGACAATCTGGATTCCCTCTCAGTTGGTCAGACTGAGATATAGCCTCGGCAGAATTAGGCCCAGGTGACCGAGGATTGGGACTTGGAATTCCAGAGTCATTAGATCGAACAGAACTGAGAGCCTCGAGCAAACGGGTCTCTAGCTGCTGACACCTTTCAGACAGCTCATCACTTCGTCGCTCAGCAGCAGCAAGTTGGGCCCGTAGGGCATCACAATCACAATTCAGAGATGGGTGCTGGATCACTAATCTATCCGACATGACGCATGTCGTTTCAGCAGCAGCGCATGAACCGCAAGTTGGCATTCTTCCATCACACTGACTACTTTAGTAAGTGATAATTTGACTTTATGGTGTGTCACTCACCTTTTGCTTGCGTCGTCGACACCGTTGGCATGCCGCCACACTTCGAGGTAAACCTCGACGATGACGACGAGGGGTTGAGCCCGATGGACTTTCACTCATCGAAGCCATAGCTTCTATGGCACTTCAGCGAACAGTAGTGTAGCTGTTGAGGATACAATGAGGCTCATGCGCAGGATGGAAATTGCAGTTCGTCTCTGTTTCTAGAACGAAGAGCCTCGGGCTTGGCATCTTATTACTAAGCCGTCTATTTATACTCTGCGCAAGGCCTTCATTTACTGATGTTCGTGTTGAGTGGCGGCACTCATAGGATAGCTAAATTCTCACAGAAACTCATGTGCTGCCTGAGCTTGATGGTCTCTGCTCAGTGACGCGCTTGTGTAACAAAATTAAATGCTCAATCAATATACAGTCGGCCCGGGTTATCCACCATCATCTTCCAGTAGGCATCATCTCCCATCCAGTCATGCAATCTCTGTAGAATTGCATGGTTGTCGATCATCCTAAATGGTTCTTTGCTTTCTATTGACCTTTTTACCCGGTTGTGTCCATCGCCCGTGTGTGGCCAATCGCTTCCCCAAATAACCTGATCAGGAATCTCTCTCGCCATTGCCTGAACGATGGGCTGCAGGTCATCAAAGGTCGAGGCTGAGTAATCTGACATACGATATAAACCGGAAACCTTTACATAGACAATCGATTGCTTTGCTAGTGACAAGAGGGAGCGGAATCCCGGTTGGGACGTTGGCGTCGATTGTAACTCCGAAGGTAGCTTGGATGTGCCACGCAAGCCACCTAGATGGTCTGCAATAACCCTTACGGGGAGCTCGCGAACAGCATCATGCAGAACTGTAGCATATCAGTCACGACAGCTGTTATACATTGTCATTAGTAGATAAGTACTCACGGTCCCATGTCCATCCTGGAACGAACAACTGGATCGCCCAGCTGGGAAGATGGCGTATGCGGTCAGCAGTACGACTCAGAAGGCTTATCAAATGTGTAATGTCGACATTTTTCCCATCGGCTTGGAAGTTGAGTCGAATACCTCGTACTCCAAGGGCGTGCATTTCGTTCAGTTGCGCATCGGTAATAGTGTCGAGATCTAACACTGCGATTCCAAACGATCTGATGCCTCTATCCCTCAATTCTCGCAGGCAATGCATCATAACCGTGCAGTCGTTCTTGTAAGGCGATGGTTGAACCAAGACAAGATTAGTGTTGTTGTAATCCCTTGCTAGGCTCTGATTCAACGCCAGTAACTTTTGCAGCGGTGCATCCTCGGGGGTATATGCTCTCCCTGCAGCATATGGGCCTAGCTTGGGATCGAATACATGGACATGTGTATCGAATGACTCCGTTGAGAGAAGGGATCTAGATGGATTAGCTTCAACGGCTGTATTTTCCGGATGTACCTACGGTGTATTGGAGCGTCTTTCATGGGTGGCTAGAGCCTGTGACAGCATTGTGTAGGTAGCCCGTTGGTAAACCATGAATTGCGGTAGACACCCACGTAGAAGATTGAGCTTTGATATTAACATAGCAAGTTCCTGTCCCTCAACGCTGCACTTCCTACGCATCCCCTTCCTTGGCATCAATGGTATGTGATCCCGGCGGCACCCCTCTTCGGGAGAGCCGATACATCCGAGGTTCACATCGGATGCATCCGACGAGCATCACGATGGTCGGTCAATCATTAGAGCTTTAATTCCAGCGATTGATTCGGCAAAATATTCTTCTCATTGGAGGATTAACGTCTGAAACATGGCACAAGCAGTAGCTATGAATACCCCGACTTTGCAAGTCAATGCCGAGCAGAAGCGCCCCATTCCCTATCGGAACTTGGCCGTCGGCGCGTTAATGAACATCTTTCAAGGTAATGAGAAACTCTACTTGCCAAGAACCTTTCTAACTTTACGCAGTTACGTCTCTTGGACAGCCGCTAGAAGTAATCAAAACCCATGTATGCTTGACTCTCACCCATCTTAATTGGAGTTAATCCTGACGACTTACTCTTCCAGTTGGCAGCAAACCGGCAAGATACATTGCGGGATGCATTCCAGAAGACTTGGTCCCGCGGAAGATTTCTTGCTTTTTATCAAGGGCTGATACCTTGGGTACGTATATCTTTCATCTAGCCCCCTCGCTTAGGCACATCTCATACTAATTGCCACAGGCTTGGCTAGAAGCCTCCACCAAAGGCGCCATTCTGATAGTAACATCAAGTGAGATTGAGTATCATGCCAGATCAAAGTTCAATGCATCACCTACGGTCTGTGGTGTTCTGGGTGGCATTGGCGGTGGCGTTGCGCAATCATATCTCACGATGGGCATGACGACATGCATGAAAACAGTTGAAGTGACCCGCTCAAAGATGAGTGTTGGAGGTGCCCGAGTGCCCGGGGCTCTGGAAATGTTTTTCCAAATTATTCGCGAGAAAGGAATTCGCGGAGTGAACAAAGGCGTTAACGCCGTCGCGCTACGTCAGGTTACAGGCTGGTCTTCTCGGATTGGTATATCGCGTTTTGCGGAAGAAAGCATCCGAAAGGTCAACGGAAAGCCGAAGGACGAAAAACTCAAATTTGGAGAGAAAATCCTGGCATCCACTATTGGTGGTGCACTGAGCTGCTGGAACCAGCCATTCGAAGTAGGTGTCGCTGAGATGTGTGAAATAAGGACTTCCGATTGCTGACTCTACAGGTGTTGCGCGTGGAAATGCAATCTATGAAGAATGATCCCGCCCGGCCAACTTCTCCGACAATTCTATCCACATTCAAGTATATCGTTGCGACAACAGGAGTCAAGGGTCTGTTTCGCGGTGTGGTTCCTCGCATTGGGGTTGCGGCATGGGCTACGATCTGTATGGTAGGATTTGGTGATACCGTTAAAGAGATTGTTAATCGCAAATGATGCATAGAAAAGTGCAGATAGAAAGGTGATAGGTCGTTGTATGCATAGAACTTGCAATCCTTATTCCTATAATAGCCATGTTGGTGGGAAAATAACAGATTTCCCAAGATATCGGAACTCGTCATGTGGAAATATATAATGGCTTTAGCCTGCTACGGTCATCACTTTACGTTCCTGGTACAATTACGACTAGCTTTCCCTTGATCTAGTTTAATCTCGAGATATACCAAGTGGACACATCGTCGCCGTGATCACCTACCTTAGATCCACACCGAGGATATCTCGAAGGCCAAGAGAACCACCCAGTTGGATGCACTTTTATCTGCCCTTCCCGAGGGCGTTCTTTAGGTAATGGTGTTACTAATTGATTGCATGATTGCCTGGACTATCAGTACGAACGATAATGCCTCTGGGTGTGGTAAGGCTGATGCAAGGAACAGTGGATATGGCGAGATAAGGATACTCGCGGAATCAAGCAAATACCAAGCTTCCACCTTCCCCCCTTTTCCTCTTTATGCGAAGCATATTGCTTCTCCCCCACTGAGGCGTAGTGCGTTCATGCCGAACCTATCATATTGACTCATTAGTGGGGTGCTAAGTATCTATCTGTAAGGCAAGAATGGTACTGGCTCTGTCAATGTCTCTGTAAACAGTGCACTAATCAACAGCCTAGCTGGATAGTCATGAGTATGAAGGGGAGTCAATGCGAATTCTTCTTCTGAGAGACAGTGGGAGATCAATGTAATACAGCCAAGAGTGTCATGTGACACAAACAGCAGGTAAGATGCCTAGACACTCCAACTCTCACCCATCCAAAGTCTCGCGAAAGTCGTTTTGTCTGCAGGGGCGCCACTCCAAGCTCCCTCTGGACTTAAGTCCATTCATGATAACTTTTCAAAGACCAATGCGCATGAGCAGGCAACTCAGTTTTTGAATATGCACGGAGTGATATTATGCAGGTCGATTCTGGCCACCGAATCTACCATTACATCCAAGGAAAGAAGCAATTTCAGGGAATTTACACCCCCATGAGTCCCACTCGACTAGCTGATACAGCGCCACTTGGTTTTGTGTGCCACATGCATGAAAGAGGGGTTTGAGGAAACGACGCTGATTAGAGGTCAACAGCCCAGGATGGGCAAGCTACACATCACACTAGAAAGCTTGTCTACGATCATCCGATGGTGAGTTGCTGATGGCATCTTGCAACGATATGGCGATGCTGTGACTATCACTGGTCATGTACCGCCTAGTCGGACAATTATATTCGTTGTTGAACCTTCGCCACTGAGACATCAAATTAAAGCCTGTTTTGGGCCCCAAACATTATTCCGCTACAAAAAGTCATGAATGATCAGGTGTTAATGCCATCCCATGGTAGGCTGCACCCAGACACACAAAGTAGATCCTATCAGCTGGTGAACTAAATCACGGAGGCCGTGGGGAACCGAGGATTACACTGGGTGCTTATCTCTACAGGTGCGTGCCTCAATCAAGTTATTCGGTGTGGTGTACTGAATCATTGGCTGATACAATGCACTCCCAAGCACCCGACCTCCTGAGTCTAGAATCCATGGCGATATCTGCCCACGATGATTTGATCTCGATGTTGTGACATCCTGTTCTCAGGCCTGTCAGTAACCTCCTCGAGCGCTTAGTCCATGCCTCTTTTTTTCTTAATTTTCAAAGTATATGCGCTGTACATAGGGGTGCTGTGCTCGCCCGGGTCAATGCTTCGGAGATGCGTTGGAGCTCCGACGCAAGGTGGACTCTCTGTGCCACCTCCTCATCGGCCTGATAGAAGCGAAGTCAAAAACAACCACTTACGAGTCTCCAATTTCGAACAGCGCGAATATTGTGCCGTTGAGTATCACAATTTAATTACCATCGCGATAAGATACCCGTTGGTGGTGTACGCGTTCCCAAGATGATTGGTGATTTCTCAGAACAGTGTGCGGCCGTGCCTTTCATGGACTTATCCCCCCGCAGATGGTTATCAGACTCGCTTCGGGAATACTGTTCGGCCACGTGTGACACCGCCAATAAGATTACCCCCATATCTCATCCGTCTCCCTGGTGTATCGCAATGGGTCATTTTCGCCAACCACTATTGAAAGACAAACCGCGAGAAGCCAATTGCATTTTGAAATTGGCGCACTAGTATCTGTATAAGCTTCGTTCAATCTTGCCACAACGTCGCT